GGACATGGGAACTAGTCAAGTTACCTATGGGAAAGAAAGCACTTCACAACAAATGGGTGTATCGAGTGAAGGAAGACCATGATGGTTTTAAGAGATACAAAGCTCGACCGGTCGTCAAAGGATTTCAGCAGAAAGAAGGAGTCGACTACACCGAAATCTTTGCTCCAGCTTGTAAAGCTCAATACTATCGGATCGTGTTAAGTATTGTGGCTAGTGAGGAGCTCTACCTAGAGCAATTAGATGTGAAGACCGCATTTCTTCATGGAGATTTAGATGAGGAGATCTACATGCACCACCTGAAGGTTTTTCGAAGGAAAGAAGAACTTGGTGTGCAGATTGAAAAAGAGCTTGTATGGCCCGAAACAAGCTCCAAGACAAGTGGTATAAGAAGTTCGAAAGCTTCATGCACAAGGAGAGTTTCCGAAGTGCAACGCCGATCACCGTTGTTTCTTCAAAAGGTATAAGTCCAGTTATATCATTTTGCTACTTTATGTTGATGATATGCTAGTAAGCAGGTTCGAGATATGAATGAGATCATAAACTTAAAGAAGCAGCTTGTCAAAAGAATTTGACATGAAGGACTTAGGCCCAAGCAAAGAAGATTCTTGGAATGCAAATCACGAGAGATAAGCAAAAAGGAGTTTTGCAGCTTATCTCAAGCGGAGTACATCAACCGTGTTTTGCGGAGATTCAACATGGACAATGCCAAACCAGTCAATACACCTTTGGCTTGCCATTTTCGTCTATCCAAGGATCAGCCTCCTCAAACGAAGGAAGAAGAAGAGTTAATGGCTAAGATTCCGTATGCTTCAGACCATTGGAAGTTTGATGTACGCGATGGTCCGTACGAGGCCGGACATTGGCCATGCAATGGGAGTTGTAAGCGGATTCATGTCAAATCCAGGAAAAGCTCATTGGGAAGCGATCAAATGGATTCTAAGGTATCTACGAGGCACAACAGAAAAATGTCCGTATTTTAGAAAGGGAGATCTAAAATTGCGTGGCTACGTAGATGCGGACTTTGGAGGTGAAGTTGATCACCGAAGAAGCACCACCGGGTATGTGTTTACTCGTTGGAACTACAACTGTTAGTTGGATGTCGCGGATACGTAAGATTGTTGTTTTATCCACTACGTAGGTCGAGTATGTAGCAGCTGATGTAAGCCGATAAAGAATTGATATGGCTTCAAGGATTGTTGGCGAGTTGGGATTCATTCAAGAAAGGAGTGTTTTGCACGATGATAGTCGAGTGCAATACATCCGGCAAAAAATTCAAGCATTTCACCTCGTAACCAAACACATCGACATACGTTATCATTTCATCAGATCTCTACTTGAGGATGAGATGCTAACATTGAAGAAAATTGTGGGAAGTAAGAACCCAGACAGATATGCTAACAAAGGTGGTGACTATTGACAAACCGAAGTTGTGCTCAACTTCGGTTAGCTTACAAGGATAACGCACAAGAGAAGACTACTATTGATCAAGGTGTGAGGACAGATTGAAATCGGTCCTCAAGTGGGAGATTGTTGGTCAAAGAAAGTGGGCAAGGGTGGTCGCCATTGGTCAAAGAAGTGGGCAAGGGTGGCCGCCAAAATTTTTTATGCAAGCATGAGGTGCCCACGAGGCATTTTTTTATGGTAATGCACAGTACCAATTTTTGCTATAAATTGGTCTTCTTCCTGCAAGCAAATGCATCTCCATCCCACACAAAATACTACTTCTCTTAGAGAAGAAAGAGTGGCACCAGTGAGAGGCAGAAAAACTAGAGAGTTTTAGTTTAACTTCTGGGTGTAATTGGGTTGTGAGTTGTGAGTGTTTTGAGAGTGTTTTGTAAACACTTGTGTATTTTCTTTTCTCCCAGAAAGAGATCTGTAGTAGTCCGGAGACGTAGGCATTATTGGCCGAACTCCGTTATCAACTTGTGTGTGCAATTATTCCGCTTTTATTTCACTTTCACAGATCTGACCATATGGGAAGATTCAGCATATTTTTCCCAACATTTAGTATATGACATACTACATTAGTTACACTAGTTGAGGGAGACATGAACGAGACTCACAAAGAGACGAGAACCATGGTGCAAGAAGGTTGTGAGGATAGGCAAAGGGTGGTGAGGAGAGATAGAGGGTGACGATGAGAGGCAATGAAGAAAAGTTAAGGGAGAATTTGAGAGGAAGAAGAAGGTGATTCACAAGATTTAAATAGCTTTCAACATAGGTTATTAGATAATCGAAGTAAAAACTATCATTCTACATCGTTACAGAGAGAGTCAATGTTGAATTGTGCTTTTTACATTGATTATCTTTTAATTGAGATGGAGAACTTACAAATAATTACAATTTTGTCATTGTGCTTTTTTCTACTTTGGTTATTGTATAACCGATGTAGAATGGTGATGTGGATACCTTGTTTTGCAGTAATTATTGTGACGCACGTTGATCGGTTGTCCATATACAAGAAATTCTATGAAGATTGTCCATTTAAAAAAAATCTATATAGGTTGTCCAAATATTCCAATCACAATATGTCAAATTTAAACTTAAAACTAATTGATACGAAACAAATGAACAAATAGATATTTGGGTCATATATGTGTAATTGAGATAGATGATGTAAAAAACTTTCCTTAACACGTGAATAATACAAAATATTACAGGTTAAGAAAATATTTTATTTCATATAAGATAGATGGGTTCAAACTGGATTTACTTTAAATAATAATTATTTATTAAAATAATAACTATTTTTAATATTTGAGACTCGAAATAAAGGCGCTAGTTCAACTTTTGTATCTTCGTATGAGCTTGATATCTGCTAGAAATGTTCCAATTTGCAGCATGATTAGGAAGCATGCATTGGTGGTTATGGCTGTCACAGGCTGTGTGTGTGAATGCAGATAGAGGAAAAGCAGATTTGCTTTTATCCTGGATGTTAAAAGTTCATAATCAGCCACTCTTCATCATCTTTCACACTCTCACGGATCATGTATATGATTCACTTTATCTCTACTTTTTAGGAGAGAATGTTTGGCATGAATAATCAATCAATGTCAGACATCCACCGTTTAACAAAACATGCAGAGAGAGAGAATGATGGTTTTTTATGCCCTATTCGTGTAAACATTCTATCATATCTATCATTTTTCTTACTTCTTTTTTCTTTCTCTCTCTAAATGTTTATTACTGTAAGCTATTCATGCATCCTTGTCATTCAGGAAAAGAAGATAAATTCATATTATGTTCGAAACTTTTATACTTATAGATTCTTGATGGTCATGTTCTTGGTTACTGGTTCAAATATTAAAAATCATAAAATTTACATTTTCTGCAACTAAATAAAAGCATTATCTTTTTATTGTTTACTCACACTTATATTACATAATAACTGTTTACAGAATACTACTTTTTATTATATATGTAAATTAATTTTACACTAATATCATGTCTGTTTTACTATATATTCATATGGCTATTTATACTTATATTTTAAATAATATATTATGTAAAATAAAACAATGAAGTACGAATTAGTCTCTTATTTTGTGTTAAATTTTCTGAACTTAATGTACATTTTGAGAGAAATTTCAATTCAACGGTTGACATGGTCAATTTTAATTTCTATTTTCAATTAAAATGTATTTTTAAGATGTACGTACATAAGTTAAAATAAATAGTTATATACTGTTACAGAGAGTACTATATTTAAAATTTTATGTTTGAATATTTAAACTGATAAAAAATTTTGAGACAGATCAAGATATCATTGGTCTAATAAAAATAAATGGAATATCTTAAATACAGTATCAATTTTGAATTTACAAATAGAAAATATCATTAAAAAATCACTGAAAAAAATAGTGGCAGGTATTAGTTAAAGTAAGTTTGATATCAAGTAGGTATATATGTTCGTTGGATCAACTTAAATGTAAATATATGATTCACATCTAAATTTTCTTAAAATTATTTTTATTTGTTTTTTTATAGTATGGATCCAAAACTATATACCACATACCAAACACATTATACATATAGTCACCAAAAAGTTGACCGACAGAAGAAAGAAAATCATCAAGTTATTATGCAATGTGCAATTATTGAGGAAGAAAAAATTTGATGAGTGGAAGAAAATCATAATGTTATTATGCACTGCAATTATTGCGGAAGAAAATTTAAAACAATTGGAGGTAGAGGAAAAAAAAGGGGAAAAGACAGAAAGTGCACTTCAGAACAAGCCAGTTTGGCTTGTGCTTTGGTCTCTAGTACGTGCCACCTTCAAACATATCCTTTTCCTCATCCACATTCTTCCAACCTCTCTTCTCTCTCTTCTCTCTCTTCTCTCACTCACTCATAACTCAAAACTTTTCTCAAGTAGCTTGAGAGTAATTAGTTCATACATCTCACTATTCTCTCTTTTTCTATTTTGGCTAACTCACAATGTATATCAGTCAAGAGTTAGAGACTAATCCCTATTCGAGATACTGAGATTTACTTAAGAAATTGACTTATCTGATTACATGTTTTCTTCAGACTCTTGAAGCATACCAGGTGATGCTAGATGCTAGATGCTAGTAACCAACAAGTTGTGGCTGTTTAAGAGGTGATTAAAGTGAATAGCCATAGGTTTGAAGACAATCCTTCTCGGGATCCATTCACCTTTCTCAGCTTTTTCCTCTTTCTCTCTCCCTCCCTCTTGGTGGTCTTCTCAAGAATATCTGAAAAGTTTGATGAAGAGAGAAAGCTATATAAGAAAGCAGGATTCATGAGCTGAGAAAATCATCAGATCCATATATTTCCCTACCTTGTAGTATTATCCTTTTCAGTGTAAGCTGCAAGATCTCAGAAATTGTTTTGGTACAAATAAACTTTATTTCTTATGAACATGTATTGTATATAACCTATTGTTATTCCATATGTTGTATGAATATGTCACCTATGTGTAGTGAGCTTTGTTTCTTACCTAATTTTACTTGTATATAGGTTTGGTGGTGGAAGAAAACATGTCCAATTTGACGTCTGCATCGAGTGAATTAAGTGCTTCTTCAGGAATCAGAAATGGCAACGGTTTTTTCCATGCTCGCCAATACTCCTCTACTTCAATAAATCAAGAACCACAACCAAAAAAGAAGAGAAGTCTTCCGGGCCACCCAGGTCATACATAAATCAACCAAAACTACCATTTTGTTCTCTAATTTTGATGGCTAATTTGCAGCCAAAATCAACATTTGATTTATTCCCTATAGTTAATGTATGTCTACATAATTTAATTTTTATACATGATGTAAGAAATGTACATCATTAATCTTTCAAAATATAATTTTTACTGTTATTATTTGTAAGTCAAACAATTTATCATATGCCATAATGTTTCATAAGATAACACTTAAAACCCTTTAGGACATGACTTTTAATATTTTAAATGTAATTTTCAAAGATAAACATTTATACTTTCTACATCAAAAACATAATTCCTCTCTTTATGGTGTTTTTGAAATACTAGTACTGTAAGGTGTTTTAAACCTCAGCAAAAAGTTATGGATATTTCAATTTTAATTGAAGAATAATATCAGCTAGATTTGAATAGACCTACATTATTTATTCCAAACAAGCATATGGTGTATTATTGATTTTGTTGTTTTACAATTGAATTATGTTGGTTTCATTTTTTTTTTTTTTCACTTGGTTTGGTTCAGACCCTGATGCAGAAGTGATAGCATTGACTCCACAGACCCTATTGGCAACAAACAGGTTCGTTTGTGAGATTTGTCAGAAAGGGTTTCAAAGAGATCAGAATCTGCAGCTTCATAGAAGAGGCCACAATTTGCCATGGAAGCTAAAGAAGAAGAACAGCAAAGAGGTGAGAAAGAAAGTGTATGTGTGTCCAGAGCCAACATGCGTTCACCATGACCCTTCGAGGGCCCTTGGGGACCTCACTGGAATCAAGAAGCACTTTTTCAGGAAGCACGGGGAGAAGAAATGGAAGTGTGAGAAGTGCTCTAAACGCTATGCAGTTCAATCAGATTGGAAAGCCCACTCCAAAATCTGTGGCACCAGAGAATATAAATGTGACTGTGGAACCCTTTTCTCTAGGTAATTATTCAGTTTAAGAATCACATTAATTAATTAATCAACTTTTAGTTGATTTAGATTCCAAAACCAGCTTATCTTCAATTCGCATTCTAATTAATTGCTTAAATTAAAGAACTAATTTTCTATGCCAAAATAAAATCATTTTATAACGGTTTGTCATCAGGTGTATATACCTTCATTCCAATATATTTCTCTAGTAGAAATTGTATAATTAATTATATTTATATAGGCATCATTATAAGTTTATGCAAAAAACAAAGAAAAAATAATATAATGATAAATAGAGATTTCTTAAGTAGTAATTCTAATTGTATTGAACTTCAATTTCTTATTAGTTAATAGTGTAAAAATATTTGCATAAATAGTTAATACAAATTTAAGTAATTTATTAGTATAAAAAGTTATAACTATTCTGATCACCATGTCATTTTATATATTAGTAGTAGTATATATTTTTTGCTAATGTAAATCGACAATAATGTGTAGTTTAATTTTTGTTAGGAAAAAAAAATATACTTAGCAGGGGCTAATTAATCAAAAGACGAAATTAATGAATGAATATGAGTAAATATCTAAACTGAATAAATTTTGTAAATTGAGTTTGAAAACTAACTCTCATTTTAATTTTATTTCAAATTGAATATTTCAAGACAATTTGTAGTCTTGAGACAAATTTCAGTATTATAATAGAACTTAATATAGAAAAACAAATAAAAGATATCTTCAGTTTTGATAGACACTGATCAACCTCTGAAGTCAACAAAAACCTTATACTTCAACTTCAAGCTTTCCATATAACACTAGTTCTTTTATTACACCGTTTCCTTTTAATTACATTTTTTTCCCCATCTTTCTTCTCTTTATATGAAATTATATGAAATGTACATCTTGTTCATCAGAAAAAAAAATCTCAATTTTCTTATCAAACACACATTTTTCTCTCTCAAAATATATAAAAACATTATAAAACCTACATTAATTTCTGTATCACTTAGAGAGAGGAAATAGTTTCGTTTAAAAGTTCCAAAAAGATGAGAAGGGAAAGTGCGTAAAAACAGTGCATAAAACAAAAAACTGTACTCTAGCTAAGAAGGAACCTGTGTGTATTTATATACATGAAAAAATTTATATGAAATATCATACTGAGTATCCATCTAGTATATAGTATAGATATTTACATTAAATATTCAGACATAATTACATTAAACAAAACTGTCTCATGATGAATATAATTATTATTTATGTAACAAAATGTGATATTAATATCAATTTTGTCATGCCAAAAAGTTACTGATTTTTCTTGGTTTGCCTTTTTGTGGTTGCAGGAGGGACAGCTTTATCACTCACAGAGCCTTCTGTGATGCCTTAGCACAAGAAAGTGGTAGAGCAGTGAACCCTCAATCTCTACTATCATCTCAATCCCAATTTCGAAGCCATGGCCTTCAACTTCAAGCACCATCATTACTAGTACTCAAAAGAGAACAAGAGTTCAACCTCTTAGGTCAAGAAATTCCATCATGGTTAACTTCTCCTACAGTGTTAGAAGAATCAATGCTAAGAACAACCTTCGACTTCTCCCCACCACAGTTATTCCCCACACATGTCAACCACTCCTTATTCCACCATGATCAAAACCCTAACCCTACTTCTACCACAACAGCTTCAACAACCACTTTTCTTCCTTCTTTGAGTTCCTTCCATTATTCCACCACTTCTCCTCACATGTCAGCTACAGCTTTGTTGCAAAAAGCCTCACAAATAGGGGTAGCAGTGAGTGCAGCACCTTCACAAGAGATGATAGTGAGACCCCACTTGTTGCTGCAGCAGGTTCACGTGCCTGAATGTACAACAACTACTACTACTACTACTACAACAGGGCATAATAATATGGCTTCTTCTTCAGCCGTTTCTGGAATGGTTATGGCTATGCCTTCACGTGAAGAAATAGGGACTCAGGGATTTGCTCGTGGCTTGGCATCTTGAGGGAATAAAGCTGCAATGGTCTCTGATTACTTGGAAGAAGGTGCTGCTGCCAACGTTGCAGAAGCAGCTAGTGCTGAATAATGCTGATAAATATTCATCAAGCATCTTCTCTCTTTTCCATGATATGATTGATGGCTACGAGATAGTATAATAGTACTACTGTGTCCTCTGCTATGAGGGGCATGTCTATTACACCAAGAGATAATGTACGTTAACTTTCAGGAACTCGTTTCAAAACCACAGAATATTACAGTTTGCTTACAAAAACCAGGGTACTGCACTAGCCACTGTGTGCCAACTAATGTTTTGAATTGTAATTCTTCGGCTTTTTTTACCAAGCAGGTTATAAAAATGTAGGAATTTGTAATTGACTCGTTTTAAATCTTTTATTTTTACGGAAGTTGTTGAAGTCGTTACACAATTTCTTGCAAGGTAGAAAGACTTTATATCAATATCGAAGAAATTGTATCATCTAAGAGGATTTTTTTTTAAAAACATTTTTTTTATTTGAATTATGCAAGATAGCACGATTAAAGTTGTATAAGATAGAACCATATTGATGTAAAACTCGTGCAAACTGAGACGATTTTTTTTAATGAAATTGTGATAAATAATACTACTTCAATTATATATCAATACAATTAAAATTATGTTAGACAACATACTCAATACAACTTCAATTATATAATAATATAATTAAAATTATGTTAGATAATATGACTTTAAGTAAATTTTAATTTTTTTGTTAACGCGAGAGTTTACAAATAAATTATTATTATTAGATAAATATATTATATAAAAACTTAATAATTTATTTAGTTTATATGTATATATATATATATTATGAAATTTATTATATTTATTTACAATATTTTTTATATTATAAATTTAAGTAATATTTTTTATATTATAAATTTAAATAATATTTTTTAAGTTTAAATTTTGTTATAATATATATTTTAAACAAAAGATAAATATATATTAAGAAAGATAGATACAAAATTATATTAAATATGAATTTTACATTAAATAGAATAAAAATAAAATATTAAATATGATGAGCAGTTTTTAATAAATTAAAATATAAACTTATTTTATAGTAAATGTTACATATTTAATGTCTATTGAGATATTTTCATTATGTCTTTTCTTTTTACACAATGAACATTTTGTTTAATTGGTTGATCCATTTCATTATGAATGAGTAGTGGTAACTTTTCTTAATTTTTATCATCACATATTAGGATCATGAATGAAACTTGGACCCATATAAATATATCAATAATTTTTATTTTGAATCGGATGAAATTGAAATTATAAGACATACTTATTAATAATAACATTTTGGCTACACAAAATACTGATAAAAAAATAAATAAGTTGTTAAATTAATGTAGTGTAACTAACTCGTGTTGAATCTCACAAGGACACAATTATAAGAATGTACACATTATCATACATTTTTTTTCTAAAAACAAGTAAATAACAATAAATAGGAGGTTGATTAAAGAGTGGAAGAAAGAAATTGATGCGAGAATAATAAAAATTAAAATCAAATTATAATAGAATAATAATGATAATTAAAATTAAATTGAAGAAGAATCTAAATAACTGAAATTTATAAGATTAAAACAAAATATTTTTAATTAAATTGGAAAATTGTCAGAATAAAGTGCAAAATAAAAAATTGCTTTAAAATAAGAGTGCGAGTAATTAAATTTAAAATTTCTGAAAATAATAACTTTAAAACTAAATTGAGAATTATAATTGGAATCATGAAGAGATAAATTGAAAATAGAAATTAAGCAAGTACTAGAATAAAATAAAAAATCTAAACAATTAAATAGTAGAAATTAAAATGACCACTGGATGAATAAAGTAAATATAACACTATAAATTAAAAAATTCAATAGAAATTGTAAATTAAATAAAAGAGAACAATCGAAATTAGTAGTAGATGAACTCGTCTAATTAAAAATTAAACTAAAAATTGAGAATGGAAAAGAAAACATGGACAAGACAAAACAACAGCTCATCCCAGAGCAAAAGTTTGTGATTGTGTTTTCATCATATTTATAGGGGACTGACCAAGAGAAAATAAACCTGGAATTAATTATAATAAAAACAAATGTTTTCTAAATTAAAAGTTGCAGCACTATATTATTGTGTAGTGAGAAATTCCTGGAACGATTTGGAGGAAACCATCCGCTTTTTTTCTAATTTGAGTGATCTATGTTGATTTGCATTTAATTTTTAATTTCTGCTAGCCTTTAATTAAGCTAAATTGGATTCTCGCAACAAGTTAATTTGCTTGACTCGAAACTTCCATTTGTAACATTCTCCTAGTGGGTTGCACAAGCAAACTTAGATTTCCAAAAAGAGTAAAGTTTGACTGTATCAATTTGGGTCTTTATTTCAATCAATTTGGCCTATCTCAAATTACTTTTCTCCTAAAAAAAAGAAACATGCACTATGGATGAATGTATGTATTTTTTTTATGTTAAAACTATGCAATAAATTAATAAAAATTGAATTATGCTAAGTTTTTAATGAAAACATGTACATGAAGAAATAATTAGCTTAGAAAATACTTTTATATCAAGAAATAATAAGTAAAATGACATATATCACTTATAGACTGGATCAATAAATGTGCCCAATTGTAAATGACAAGAAGAACAATAGCATGACAATAAGGAAGTCAAAGAGTTCAAAATTTCCTACAATCACACTATCATCGATTTAATCTAACTATGTAGCTAAATGATCTTCGATGATGTTGAGGATTTAATTGGTCTTGTGCATTAAACTCAAAATCTTCTCAAATGTACTTTTGATTATGACACATTCGAGCATGTTATTTGTTTTCTCTAAACATTGTAGTATATCTTGATATTCATGTCTTGCTCGTAGTGTGTACTTTACTTTCATATCTTGTTCTATAAATCATGATTTAGGTTTTCTTTTTAATGTGGTTTTAACTAAGACACATATATGTAAGACTCTTGCTCCTTTGATAATAAAATTCATATACTCAACAAGATTTGTTGTTATGTGTTTATATCGCTTGCCTCCACCATAGGTTTGAGTCCATTTTCTAATAAAATTCCATCTAACCATGATATTTCTTGTTGAAACTTAAACCTTATAATAGATAATTTTACTAAAAGTGTTAGTTGCTTCATTTTATATCCCATAATAAAAATATAATTTAATAAATAGGTTTTATAAAAGAATAATTTATTAGAACATGTTACCTAGGTTGACGACTTATTTTTTCAAGTTAACATATTTTAAGTTTTTGTTGAAGTTTGAAGCAATATGAAAAATACATTACACTAAGATTAGATAACTTCAATCAAGATTTTTAGATTATAAAGCTAACAATATTTTTGTGTCCCTCGTCTGTAGGGTGTCAAAATAAGCTCAACTTGATGACTTACCTAAAAAACCCAAAAACTAGGTTAGACTAAGCTAACAAATTTATAACTTAAATTAAATCATACATATTTTGTCCCGGTTCATTTATGAAAGCAATGAGGGGGAGATTGATGACAATGTGAAACATGTCCCTACATTTCCAAGAGATGATTTTGATGATGATTCAAGTCAACAACATTAAAAAATCAAGCAAGCCCAATATATGATTTTGATAAAGATTTTATTCAAGATTCAAGCAAGCCTAAGATGATTCCTGAAGACTAGATAAAGTCTTAGAATACTGGATATGAATGTACAAGTTGATGAAGTAATATTATGCATAAGCCTTCACAGTACAAGTGTGATAAAATTTCGTAACATGACATTTTTCACTGTCATAATCAGTTATGATGTATCAGAAATGGAAAAATGATTTTCTCTGTCATAATTGATTATACTGGTAACATAATCGATTATGGTAGTTTAAATTTGAAAAATATCCGTTTTGAAGAATAAATGTTTTTGAATACATCCTTATTTTTTTCTCTACGAAAGTATTAATGACCAATGACTATTTTATGATGCTATTTTCCTATTTAAATGAGTTTTGATGAAAAAAAATAAAAAATATACAATTACAGAATTTGAAAATATAATTTACATTAAAGAATTTTGAGCAAAGGCAACAGAACACTTTTCGGTTTTCTTAGAAAACTTTTCTATACTGCCTTCTGCACTTTCATTGTCAATCACATTGTGTTATTTGAGGTTATCATTCTACAGGCTTCTACAATTTGTTGTCTCCATTACTCAGGTGTGATTGTTCTTATTTTTATTACATTCATCATTTGTGGATGACTGTTCTTATCTTACTCTTTCATCCTTTGTGGGGTTAAGAGGTTTAAGTTAATCAATTGTGTTATTCATCCTTTGATTTATTCAGAGGAGGTGTTCATCCTTTGTGTATTGGTGGCAAATGATGTGTTTTTCATTCCTAGTGTGATTCTAGAAAGGTGTTCATCCGTAATAGGATTCTAAGGAGGTGTTTTCATCCTTTAATTTGTTCAGAGGAGGTGTTCATCCTTAGTGGGTTTCTAAGGAGGTGATTGTCTTTTGAATTAGTTTGTTTTTTGCTGAATTGATTGTAATTTGTAAATTGAATTTGAAAGATAGTGAATTGGGGTCACTCTTGTGATTAGAGTTGACTGAGAACTAGATGTAGAGTTGACTATACCCGAACAAGTATAAATTACTGTGTGCTCTTCTCCTTCCTATCTCTCGGTGCTTTTATCCCTCCCTTTTTAACTCTCGATTATATTATCGCTTCCGCTTTATCTTTGTTCAATTTAATAATTAAAATTGAATTAATAAATATTGGACATTTTAAAATAAATTTTTAATTTGACATTTATTTTAATTTGTGCATCTATTCACCCACCCTCTAGATGCTTATTTGTCTATTAATTTAGACAATGACTTAAATAGACTTAGACTAAACTAGCTCGTAAACTTATGGACTGACCAATTTTATAACATAATAATTATATTTTAAATAAAAATAAAAGTATATTATTTTATTAAAATTGTATATATATTATAAATTAATTTGACAAAGGATCTTATTTATTCAAAAAGTAAATATAAGTAGTAGCGAATCTTGACCATTGATCTTAGGGGCCAAATAATATATTATTAATAAATAATAAATAAATATAAAAGGAAGAAAGAATATGAAAGGGTGAAAAGATAAAATTGTAGATATATACTTAAATATATTAAATGATCATTAAGTTTGAGGGAAACAAAATCATAAATTATATGAGAGTTACAAAAGCTGAGGAGGAGTTGAAAGGATAAAATTGTAAATATACAAGTAAATATATATTAAATGTTCATTATGTTTGGGGGGGTCAAAATCATAAATTACATGGGAATTACAAAACTTTGGGGAGTCACGACCCTCAACTCCCAAGAAGATCCGCCACTAAATATAAGAATAAGTTCGTATCATCTACTTATTCTAGGATTTAATGGTGAAGATGAATTGATATTTTAGTTCATTAAATTATTAAAAGATGAATAGTAATAATGAAAAGTGAATTTTTAACTCTTATTTTAGGAGTAAATGAATCTTTTCAATTGTAATTTTTATATTAAATCACTATATCTGAAATAAAAATTGATTTCATTAATATAATTTAAAATTTAAAAATACATTTTTAATTTTTTAAAACATTTTTAATTAATTATTTTGATATAACCACATTAATATTTTTTTAAAATTTTAATCAGACCAAAATTGGTCTATTAGCTGGTTGGTCTAACATAAAGTTAGGTTAGGCAAAAAATTATGACCTGTTTTAAAATATAGGTCAAGTTGGGTCATCAACTTTTTTTACTTGGTCCGTAGGGGTCAGGTTGGGTCAGGCCACCGATTATCTGTTATCATGCATAAATTATTTTGAGGTGTAACACAATGTTTTAGAAATTGAAAGAACCATACTAGTATCTCCTTTGTCTCACCTTTAAAATTGCAAATGCAAGTGGAAATATGTTTTGATGTCTTCTTGCATAGTTGCTATAAATAATGTAGCATGATATTTTCCTTTAAGAATGTGCCATCAATTTGAATAATTTGCTTGTAATATTTGGAGCCTTTTATGCATGGCTTAAATGATCAAAATATACATGATGTACTACTACACACACCATGTCTTGAATAAAGAGAACCAACATATTAAACAATTGCTTTAGGATTACTATCTTCAATAACTTATAACTACCTTGAAAGATCATTATATGATTCTTCCCAATCTCTAAATGTGACAGTAAACACTTTCTATTTTGTTATCCATGCTTTTCTGTAAGCAACCATATAACCATGCCGATCTTTTATTTTACAATCAAAGTTTTAATAAGAACATAGGCATTTGTTTTTCCCAATTCATAAATGTTTCGTCTAGGAATGAGAGTGTCTTAGCCTCATGTCAGTTATAATAACATCGTTAGGGTCAATTCCCACATCCAAGGTATTGTCCGCTTTGGATCTCTTGTCCATCATGGTTTTGTCCTTAAAAAGCGCCTTGGTGAGTTAAGAGAGAGAGTGTATATAAACTACATTTGACCTCGACTCCTAAGCGATATGAAACTCATGAGCATACCAGAACATAGCCCCTAGTTGAGGACTAAGGCATATGAGAGTGGAGTGAGACTCAACTCTCAGCTCCACGATGGGCGCCAATGTTCCGTCTAGAAATGAGAGTGTCCCAACCTTATGCCCGCCATGATAACATCTTTAGGGTCAATTCTCACGTCTGAGGTATTGTCCACTTTAGAGCTCTCGTTCTCATAGTTTTGCCCTTAAAAAACGTCTCGGTGGGTTAAAAGAAGAGAGTTTATATAGACTACCATTGACCTCGACTCCTAAGCGATGTGAGACTTATGAGCATACCAGAACAATAAATAATATTGACAATGATGACAAAATATAAGTTTTGATGATCGAAATGTAACATTTTACTCAAATGTGTATGAGGAATTTTACTACCTGAAGCACAAAGTTTTCATTGATACTGGTTGTCATAATTTATAGAGCAAGTAATATATTTATCAAATTTAGATCCTACAACACAAAATTTGTATCATTCATCAATATGAAATTATTTTATTACACTTGTTATTGTCTCTTTTTATCGAAAACACAATTCTTCCCATATTCTTTTTTAATTTAATATGTGAATTGATTTAATGATTGTCCTCATTGTAATATGACATCATCCTCTAGTACATAAGAGGATTTTTATATTTGTTATTTTAAGTTTGTTGTGTCTGGCTAAGCTCCAACGTTAATGTGAAAGACGTAAATTTACATTAGAGTAACTAACCAACATAATTTTACATTGAACACTCTACAACCCGATGTAAATTTATGTCACTCACTCCAAGACTATTCGCTCTCCCATCACCCTCCTTTCCTTCTTCAATTGGCTCTAAATCCACGTGCCACCTCCATTCTGCACCTCCCCATGATTCTCTCCATCCTCCCTCCCATCCTCTTCCACCGCAAATGCTTCAATGCTAAGTCCCTTTTTGTCTCTTTCATCTCTTCCAACTTCCGCCACGAGCTCCACACTCTCCTCCTCAGCCACTTCTCCAAACCCCTCCTTAACATTTCCCTTGGCACCTACATCCAAGTTGGCATCATCTTTGTTTGCCCCACACCCCTTTCGTCCACACACTCCTCCGTCTGGTCCCCCTCCTTCAACTACACCCTCCTTGCCTCTGATGTCTTCCATGATGCTCTTGCCCTCAACGCCAAGATCAACACCAACATCTTTAACATCCTCATCCATAACCATTATCATCCTCATTTTGCATACCCTGTGCAAGAAGGATGTGGTTACAAAAATGAAGAATGTTAGCTCTAAGAAAAAAAGAAAGGCCATGTTTGAAACAAGTACAATTTAAAATCATCTTTAAACCAATTTGGGGAACAGAGATTGACCCATTACAAGGAAAAGGAAAAGAACAAACCTAAAAATGCAAGATCCCAAGCTAAAGAAAGAGAGCGTTGGAATATAGGGAAAGAAGATTGAGTAACTTGAAAGGTAGAATGTAGTAAGGGATGTTAAAGCTTTGGAAAAATTTCTTTATTGGACGAAGCCAAACTTCAAGGGTTCCAAGATGGAGGATGAGGAAGAAAAGGTCAAGATGATAATCTCATATAATGATGTTACACTTTGGTGGCGTCAGAGGAATGCTAACCTTGAGAAGGGACTCTGCAGAATCAAGACATGGAAAGAGTTGAAGACTGGATAGGGTCTAGAAATCACTTTCTATAAAATGATTCCATGATTTCTTTTGATATGTTTCCAGTTAAGGTAGATATATTATGTCATAATACCGAATGAAGATCGTGGTAAAATTTTTAAATTTATGTCGGGTAGTATCCTAATCCGATGTAAATTTAAAATTTTGTGTCGGACCGCATACTGTTCAACATACACAATATTGGCTTCAATTTAAAAAATGTCACAACATTTTCTTTTTATGTTGGGCAGTTATTAATCCAATGAGAAAAAGCTAACGTAAAAACAATATTTTGATCTAGTGATCATTGTCATACATTGGACTAGAGGTAAAGAAATTTTCTTCTTCATTAGTAAAGTTTTTTACAATATTTTGAATATCAAGTTCATCAACTATCATTGAAGAACTACTAACTAGAAGTCTATTCATCTATTTGACTAGAATGGTAACTAATTAGATATAATATTAAAAGAGATTGAATTAAAATAACTAAGAATCATATTCTTACCTTCTCAAATTGAATTTGAATAAACTACAATGCAATATTGAATCTTTGTGTGTCAAATAAAGTTGAAAAGGTTACAAAAAATTTTAAGGTAAATATATACAAGCATAACATTTGAGTAATATAGAAGTAAAAATTGAAACAAACGTGAATGAAATATATGATTTCAATTATTATGTGTAGGTAAACTTTATCATTCTATAGTAATGTCATATACATTAATCATGTGAGGTTCCTTATACATTCAGTATGTTTCCCTCCCAAATAAATATGTTTTTCACCTCTTCCATGACATCACCATCAACATATCATTAATTCCCCTTCATGTCCCCTATGACTAGTATACCCTTATGTAGTATCCAAATGAAGATGATGAATATACTAATAATAATAGGGAAACAAGAATTCAAGTCCCTCTAGCACATGGTCGTAGATGTGTTACACTAGCATAACAACACCTATGTGGAATAATCACACAAAGCCATGTGTGAAATTAGAAGAACATCTTGTGGGATAGGATTAACTATTAAACATATTTTATAACAATATTTGTAATTTTATTATTTTGTAATTAGTATATTGCTTAATGAATATTTTGGCCATAATTTCTTATGTAGATATTAATTTTAGCTTATTCAAGTTGCATTGGATTATACATTTTTAGGACTTTCAAATGGATATATGGTTTACTGGATTTAGAGTTCTTTGTGATTTTCACAATTTTTGAAAGTTTAGACAAATATATTAAAATTTCGTAAATCAGTACGAATTTTATTATCCTTTGTATTAGCTTAACTTTTGTAATTGAACTTATGGACCTAATTAGAGCCCATATTTAGGCACATGATTGATTCATACTTGAGAGTATAAAAATAGTCTAAATATGCTTTAAATTCATATCCATAAATCATTTTATTAGTTTTTCAGTTTAGAAAGTGTTTTTACATTTTCTCTTTTCTCTCTTCTCTCTCATTTTTGTGACTCTTCCTCCCCTCTTCTCTGACTTTCTCTTGAGTTCTTCATCCATGAAGAACTGAATTTTGATGATTAATTCATGGAATCAAAATCAAACAAGTCAAATTGGGTTTTGCATCAATTGTTTCTCTCTCCTAGTTTGTTCTTCTCTTCTCTAATTTTGGTTTCACATTTTGTGATATCAAATTATTTTTTTGATTTTAGAAATTAAATTAGGAATAAATTGAATCTTTATTTCATAATTGAATAGGATTAGATTAAATGATATTAAGATTTAATTCATATAATTGATTTAGTTGATTACAAATCAGTTAATTATATGGAAAGAGAATTAAAAATTGAATAGATTTCAATGTGTCCTTAAGAAGAATGACTTGTTAGGAAATATAAGTGTGATTTTAAGTTCCACATTGTGTAAGAATGAGAAAGTTAAGCAACATATAAGGAAGTGTGACCCATAACCCAATGTCTTAAGGTTTTGGGTTGAGAGTGGTGTCAATCTCTTATAGGGTTGGACTCATGTCTCATTGATGTTGTTCTCCCCAGTAAATCCCCCTCGAAAGACCTAACAAGTGGTATCAGAGCCGAAGTTTGATCGGCGGGTATCCAAGTGTGAGTTAAGTTTCATATTGAGTAAGAATCAGAAAGTTGAGCAACATATAAGGAAGTATGACCCATAACCTAATGCCTTAAGGTTTTGGGTTGAGAGTGGGGTCAATCCTTATGTGGGTTGGGGTCTCATGTGTCATTGGTGTTGTTTCTCCCCTGTAAAACCTCCCTGAAAGACTAAAAAGTGGTATCAAAGCCGAAGGTTGATCTGCAGTGGGTTAGAGTGGTCTTTGTATCGAAAGTCTTTCTAACAGAGCGAGTCAGGTAAGCGTGTCCCATTAAAGTGAACTGTCGTACATGGAATGACCACTAGTGAGCTCGAGAACATGTACCAATGTGAAGGGACTCACATTGAAGGGGAGATTATTGGGTAATCCAAGTGTGAGTTAAGTCCCACATTGAGTAAGAATGAGAAAGTTGAGCAACATATAAGGAAGTATGACCCATAACCTAATGCCTTAAGGTATTGGATTGAGAGTGGTGTTAATCCCTTATGTGGGTTGAACTCATGTCTCATTGATGTTGTTCTCCCTAGTGAATCCCCCTCAGAAGAACTAACAAGAACTTAACTCACACTTGAATTACCCACAATCTCCCCCTCAAGTGTGAGTCCCTTCACATTGGTACATCCCCTTGAGTTGACTAGTGGTCCTTCCATGTACCGTCGTTCATCCTAATAGGACATTCTTACTTGACTCACTTTTTCAGGAAGACTTTCGATACAAAGACCACTCTAACCCATTGTCGATCAACCTTCTGCTCTGATATTACTTGTTGGGTCTTTCAAGGAGGGATTCATAGGGGAGAAACACACTAATGAGACATGAGCCCAACTCATAATAGGGATTGACACCACTCTCAACCAAAACCATTAAGGCATTAGGTTATGGGTCATACTTCCTTATATGTTGCTCAACTTTCTCATTTTTACCCAATGTGGGACTTAGAATCACACTTGTATTTCCTAACAATCTTCCCCTCAAGTGTGAATTCTTCCACATTGGTACATTCCCTTGAACACATTAGTGGTCCTTCCATGTATCATCATTTACTCTAATGAGACACGTTTACCTGACCCACTCTATTAGGGGATTGACATCACTCTCAACCAAAAACCTTAAGGCATTAGGTTATGGGTCATACTTCCTTATATGTTTCTCAACTTTCTCATTCTTACCCAATGTGGGACTTAGAATCACACTTGTATTTCCTAACAATCTCTCCCTCAAGTGTGAATTCCTCCACATTATTACATCCCCCTCAATCTCATCAGTAGCCCTTCCATGTGTCGTCATTCACTCTAACGGGACATGCTTACCTGACCTACTCTATCAGGAAAACTTTCGATACAAAGACCACTCTGACCCACTACCGATCAACGTTCGGCTCTGATACCACTTGTTGAGTCTTCTGAGGGGAATTCACTAGGGAGAAAAACATCAATGAGACATACAAAGACCACTCTTACCCACTGCCAATCAACCTTCGGCTCTGATATCACTTGTTGGGTCTTTTGAAAGTGATTCATAGGGGAGAACAACACCAATTAGACATGAGCTCAACCCATATAAGTGATTGACATCACTCTCAACCCAAAACCTTAAGGCATTAGGTTATGGGTCATACTTTCTTATATGTTGCTCAACTTTCTCATTCTTATACAATGTGGAACTTAGAATCACACTTGTATTTCCTAACAATCTTCCTCTCAAGTGTGAATTCCTCTACATTAGCACATTCCCTCGTGCTCACTAGTGACCCTTCCATGTACCGTCGTCTCGTTCTTACATAATGTGAGACTTTGAATCATACTTATATTTCCTAACATGACCTAAGTTAAAGCAAACTTAGAATATTTGATTTCATGAACAATAGTGAAAAGCAAAAATGGTGTCGTTGTCGGGAACACATATTGATGTGTCCAATTGTTAGTATTCTTTTTTATTTTTTTTTCTTTCCTTGACTTTGATCATAACTCAGTTTGTTAATTCCTAATTCTTTTTTATTAATTTTCTTTCTTTCTTGATGTTGTTTCTAACTCATTTTCTTAATTCTTTTTTAATCATGTTTCTTGATTCAATTTTTTGTTTTGTTTCTTGATTTGTTCTCAATTTGATTCTTGATTTTGTTTCTAATTCTCTAATTGTGTTCATAATTCTCAAATTTTGTTTTTCCCATGTTCTTCACGTTTCTAATTACATCTCTATTTTGGATGTGTTCTTAATTTTAATTTTAATTTTAATTCTAATTCTAATTCATTTTTTTGTTTCATTTAATTTCTTGATTTCTTCTTCACTTGTTCTTCATTTGTTTCTCACTATTCTTTCTAAGATTTTATTCTATTTGTATCCAATTCAAAAAAATTACAATTTTTGTTTTTCTCTTCTTTTAATTTTGGTAGTAGTTGTTGATAATCCATTGGTTTTGTTTCCAATGTTGTAGTTGTTGTTTCATTTCTTGATTTGTTCTTCA